TAATAATAACTTTTAAAAATTGTTTAATGAAATCTTTTTTACCTATTATTATTTTTCCTTCAGAGTTGACTAAAATGTTTTGTGCCTTAATATCTCTATGTATGAATCCAATAGAGTGCAAATGATTTAAACCTTTTAAAACTTCTTTCACTATAAAAGAAACTTCTTTTTCGTTCATTTTTTTATTTGGTTTCTTATTTCTAATATTGTATAAAGAACCAAATTCACAATGTTCCATCAACAAATAAATATGATCTTTTTTAATATATTGGGTGTAATTTATTATTATGTTTGAATGTCTTGCTACTTTACTAATTAATACTTCATTATATAAAATATTTAGAAATTTCGAATCCCTTATTGAAATCGATTTAATAACAATAACTTTATTTGTTATTTTATGAGTTGCCTTAAACACTTCACTGAATTCACTAATGATAATAATATATGATGGTTAGTGGTGATATATAAATAAATAAATGCGTATATATAATGAATTACATGTTTACCCTGAATTAATTTTTTCCATAGAATAATTAACATTTAGATCGCTTTCTTCAATTAGATCTTTGATTTTATTTATGTAATATTCTCTATTTTCAGATTCAATTTTTTCATCAATGATTAAATCTTTAATGTTTTCATCATCTTCGTATTCATGACTTTCGTCGTTTTCGAGATCTTCATTTAAGGAATAATTTGTTATTTCAGTATCACATTGTTGATTATAATAACCTTCATATGGATTAAAATATTTGCTACTATAATTATTATAACTATTTTGTCGAATTTGTTCATATTGATTGTTAGAAAATTTCAATCTGCTTTCAATCTTTCTAGATTGTTTGTTGTTGTTGTTATTATTATTATAAATTAACTCTTCATTAATATCACTACTACTATTACTACTACTTGTTGACTCTTCATAGTATTTTACTGATACTTTATTTAATCCACTTAATGTTGTCAATAATTGTTGATTTTCTTCTTGCATTCTATTTAATAATAGTATTTTTTGTGGCGATTGTTGCTGTTGTTGCTGCTGGTGGTGGTGGTGGTGGTGGTGGTGGTGTATATGAAGCTGCTGCTGTTGTTGTTGTTTTAATTTGTTTGGCAATAATGAGGATGACATCTTTTCAATTTTTGTAGTTGATAAATAATTTGATTTTTTATCATTATTATAATTAAATGATGATGGTGAATAATTATTATTTGATTTTGATTTCATTGAAGCCTTATTTGCTTCATTATTTGAATTTATTTTAATCTTAAAAAAACAAATAAATTATTTCAAAATAAGTTATTTAATCAATATCAATAATCATATTCAATAATTGTGAAATATGACGTACCAAAACTTTCTTTACTATCCAATTTGCGAAAAAATCCCTATTAAAACCAAATATCATTTCTAGTCCATGAACCAGTCCATAAATCATCAATGACATTATGATTTTTTTAAATATCAAATTACCAAGTTCTGGTATTACCAAATCAACTGATAATGAATAAAGTATCGTAAATATTAGCCAAATTATTTGGTTTTTTTTAATAAATATTCTTTTCGCTGTCATTCTTCTAGTTTTTATTTTTAGTTATAATTTTTGTTGTTGTTGTCGTTGTCGTCGACTTTGTTGTGGTTATTGTACATCTTATAGAGTAAATAAACAATTTTTGATGAAAAAGAAAGATTTTTTTTAAATACGTTTTAATATGTGTGCTTTTAGAAGATTTGTAGCTGTTACACTAACTGAATTTAGAGTTATTATTTTTTTTTTTTTTTGTGGTCGATCAATTCAAAAAAAAAATGGCTCAAAATATTTTTATTGTAGCAGCAAAACGTAAATATAAGATACTACTTTATATTTATTTATATAATAAAAAATAGAAATACCTAATACCTTTTAATTCGTGTATATATATATATTTATGTGTATGTACATTAGGCACTGCCTTTGGCACATTTGGAGGAAAAATAAAAATAGGTAAAAAAGATTTCATTAAACAATTTTTAAAAGTTATTATTAATAAAAGTATTATTATTATTATTATTAACATTTATATTAATTAGCTGATTTTGGATCGTCGTCAATAAATTCATATGCAAAATTAAAATTGGGTACAATTTATTGGATGGCACCAGAATTATTGCAAAACAAAATTTATAGTAATAAGATTGATATATGGTCACTTGGCATAACTGCAGTAGAATTATTTGATGGTAAACCTCCTTGGTATCCTATGAATAAAAATAGAGTAAGAATCAATACATTTAGCATTAATTGATTAATTAATTCACATGATACATATTTACATTTATATATCCATTTGTTTATTTATTAGGTTATAGAATTAATAAAATCTGTTGGTTTACCTCCTTTACCCTCAAATATTTCTCCGGGATTTGAATCATATTTAAAACATTCATTCACAAGTAATCCAGGTAAAAGATCATCAGCCAATAGATTGTTATTTTATCATCCATTTATTAAAAATTGTATTAGCAAAATTAATATCCTTGATGGAATAAGTAAATGCTAATGATAATGGTAGCAGTAGTAATTTCCTAAAACTTCCTTATTATGCATGTGATATTAATATTTTTTTTAATTTTTCCATTATGTTTATATTTTTAAATCTAGTGTGGGTTATAATAATATGTAATAAATAAATAATAAATATGATAGATTTACCATTTCCAAATTTTTTGTTTGCTCCAAATTCTATCTCTAAAATTTTTTTTTTGTAAAAATAAATCATTCCAAATGATTTTAAAAATATCATCTTAAAACGATGTTATAAAAACATTGTTTCATTCATCAAGAGTTATTTAAAAAAAGAGGGGCGTGAAAATAAGCAGTATCCCTACCACCGTTAATAATAATTATTCTGAAAAAAATGCTATCATCAACACTACAAAACATGAAATATAACTAATTAATCAAAATCAAAAGAATTAAAAAAAAACAAATCAAAAAAATACATCACGACTGCCACCTGAACTTCTTCAGTCACAAAACGGATCATCATCAAGCCTCAATTATCAAGAACGTTATCCGCTAGCTACGATGTTAATGGATCTGATGATTTAAAGATTTTTAAGGCTAGAAAAAATAAAAGGTTATTAAATACCCCATAAATAAACGTCAATGCAATCAAACACATTTAGAAAATTTAAACTATGATGAATTGATGAGTAGACTTGAAACCTTGGAATTTATGGCTCAAAACATTAACAAACAATTCAAGGGCAAAACAACGATATAGAAGATCTGATTTTTTTATTAGAAGAAATTTTTGAATTCATCAAAAAACAAAATACCGCAGTAACACCATAATTGAGAAACTAGTAACCAAAATTACAAAACTATAAACCGGGCATAGAATGAAACATAACAAGAGAATTTTTAACTAGGGAGCGGCTCTAGACGGACGTAGAGTGAAACCTAGTTAGAGAATTGTATAGTTTCGAAAGTGAAGCATAAATATATATTCGCGGAAATTATTATTACACTTTAGCGTAAATTAGCATAAATTATTATTATTATTGTCATTCGTGACTCGGACACGATCCCACAATAGATAAATCGCAAAACTCATTCTCTAAAATAACATTGGCAACTCGAATCTTTTTACAACGCATCTAGCACGCAGAATTTTTCTGATTGCATTAGTTTCCCATAAAGCATATCGATGCAATACATGCCTATGATTCAGGCTTTTGTTCAAGTCTTCGAAAATAATATCACGGAACTTATTACCGCTGCATTTCAATTCCAATGTGATGATGATTTCCTATATTCTTAGTTCTTTGATCAACATGCACACATTTTTGCCTAAGGAAAAGCAAAACTGAAAAGGTTATTTTTATCAGACTAATAAATACTCAGGTGAAATCCAAATTAAAGAATTAGAAAACATGCTCGATGTTAAATTTGTGGACTATAATTCTCCTGAGGCCAGAGAAAAAAAATTTCGGAAGTTGATCACGAGAATAACATGTAGCTATTCCAATTTCAGGTGCAAAGCACCTTTCATCCGGAAATCTTATTACTTTTCTAGCTTCGAAATATTTCTTGCTATCATACAGCAAAATATCATTTTCTCTGAAATACATCAAACGAGGCCAAATCCGGTTCATCCACTCACTAGGAGCTCATCCGAATCAACAATCTCCATCCAGAAGTATTCAACCCATTCTAAACCATTAGCTTTAGAACTAAAAACGTGCTCATTAGAATAATCCCATAAAGAGGATTCAAATAATGGTATTTTAATGTTCACAGCACCAATAAATGGCGAGTTATTGTAATATATATGGTAAACCAAAATATCTCAATAATCAGTGATTCAAATTAGACTCAACTCATCGAGAGAATTCGAACGGCAGTTGTTTTATCCAGAACAGCTGGATATTGACCGAGTTAAGATAATTTATGGCTTTTGATTTATTTTCTGTATGCGTGATTTAATTCCAACCATTCGACTCTTTGGTTCTAATTTCGACTTCATGTATAGCTGTTATCCTAATTGTGGTATCTGTAAACATTTGATGCGATAATTATCGAAAAAAAATAATCAAGAGTCTCGGGATGTGGCTATGCGGCTATCAATTTTACATGATATCTGATATCTCAAATCCTGGATCAAATTACACGAACTCTGTCCGCCATCAAATTGACAAATAAACCAAATGGATTTAGCTCTTCCGCGCAAACAACCGGGTTTGTTTGGCTCAAACGTCCTGATAAATGACCCTTTGCATCAAATGATGACAAAATTCAATAATAAATAATTTGCATTCAAATTGTCTAGTTTTAACAATATAATTGGTTGGAAAGAAAGTAAAATTTAAAGATTGACAATATAACATTATTGTTGTTGTGATTTCAGTTATTTGTACACATTATAAAAACAAAAATTACGAATTTCATTAAAAAATTATA